TCTTTCAGAGGCTCTAAAAATCAGAAAAATATATATTTTGGCATAATTCTACTACCGACCATAGCCACACATATTCTGAAGACATATGCAAAATTTGAGTTCGATTGGTTCAGTAGTTTTTGTCAGATCGCGGCAACCGTTTCGGAAAACATGGTTCCGAGAAAAACGCGTTTAAAGTTTTCAGTGCAATTTAGATTCTCCCTTGACGTGTCACACTAAACCAACTATAACTTCGTTATTTTATTCAATACAACTATAAAACTTGAGGAGTACATTCTTAAAGAGTTGTATTTTCGATATATGCAAAAAGATAAAAATCGATTTTTTCAAACCGTCACACTAGAAGACCCCCTTAATTTCAAACGTTACTCAGCTTCCCCGGAAGTGTGCAACGCGTTAAAGTGTGTTACGCGTTCATGTGTTATTCATTATTTCGTGTTCCGTTTAAAACGGGACGGAAGAAAAAAGAACGGAGGGAAACGTGGAAAGAAAAGAGGGAAAGTGTGTGAAAACGTGATAGGATATGGAATTGGATGCATGTGTGCGGCCAACGTTTGCACATTCTGCAGTTGTCCTGCTGGCCTTCTCGCGTTGGCGAAATATTCTAGGGTAAGACTAATACGCGAACTGGGTCACAGATATAAATTCAGCAAGAGAGAATATCCGAAAGACGTATAAATGAAACGAACGCGAGAAAAAGTAGCCACTGGTCTTCCACGAGCGAACTATGTCAAGTTTACACGAATGTGGTTATCACTTCTCGAACTTTGTTGCAGGTTTTTAACCCTAGAACGGTCTTCGGGTCTTTTCTGACCCACCGCCTTTTTATATTTTTAGCAATTCTTGCTGTTATCAAGTTTACGTCCCTTAACATTATTTCAAACGTTTATCGTCCAGGTTCATATGTCGCGTTGGAAAGAAAAATTATTACACATAAGGTCTTAGGTCCTTTTTCACCCAAAAGTCTCTTAACTGTACAGTCAAAACGAAGAACGCAGTAGGGTTAAGCATGGCTCTATATCAATAATCTAGCATCTCCAATTCGATTTAAAGTAACTCAGCTTTCCAAACCTCGTTCAAATGAAATAGTGAAAATTCTTGGACAGATAATTATTAAAAGCATGAAAAATAAAAATAACAATACAAAACACAAGAATTTATTTTGATGTATTCAATTCTATGAAAAATTACTATTGAAGTAATAGTTGCAATTATAGAGAAGAAATGTGTCATAGTGAAGAAGAAAATAGAACCCCTTTAGTCTTTAGATTTTTTGAAGAAAAAAAGGACGTATTATACTTCACTCTCTATTTTCAGCTTTTTTTTCCTTAACAGATCACTATCAAGCGATATTGCGTGAAATGGAAAGCTGTTAATACCTTATCGGACACACCTGGCCTTGTCTATTTGTAATCAAGCATTTTGCAAGTTACGAGACGCCAGGACAAACATTTACTCACCGAGATTTGCACGCGAGTGAAGAACATTATGGAATCTTAATCTGAGATTAAGTCGAGTGAGACGGTATATGCAAATAGTGTCTTTTCACGGTACCAACGGTGTACTTGACATATTTCAAGCAGCAATGCTAATGACCTCGAAGCTTCCACACTAAGATTATTAGTTTCACTCTTAAGACCGTACTTCGCTTTCGGATATAAAATTATTTTTGGATAAAAAATGTATTTTTTAATTATTGCTAAATTATTCGTCGAAATTTATAACTGTTATACGACATATTTTTGATTCGTTGAAATTTATCATATGATATACTTCTGATTTTCAACTTCCCGACGAATTCTCAAAAACATGCAAAGAAAGAAAACTATTATACGTCAATCAAGGTGACGCAGATACCTGTAGTTTAGGATCAAAGGATATCATAGTGCGAACCACACCTTCGACGTATAATAGCGGTAAGCAAATATCGACTTTTTGTCACCTCAAGTCGAAAGACTCTTATCACTAAGTGTCCCTGATTGCTTCCGTACGGAAGCATTGATTCAATGGACACATCAGTCACACCCATTTTCGCACGTTATAAAGGCAAGAACATTAGCCTTTTTTTCTCAGTATTTCGTCTTACCAAGTATGCAGTACCATTCTCGACAAGTATTACAACGAATACCATTAGCTTAAAGAAAAAACGTCTAGTATTCAGCTTTCCAAGTGTTAATTTAACAAAAATTGTTTCTCACAGTTCGCCTTATGAACTCTTGTCGAATGTCGTTTACGATACTGTTTACGTTCCTCTTGACAAGTGCAACATCTGCGCGACCGTTATGGAGAAAGATTGTTATCGCCGGTGGAATTCGTGACTTCGAAAATCTAACTTCTCACCTGAAACATCTGGAGGAATCTCTGTACGGTGTTCCGGACGATGGAACTGGAAGGCGAGTGGCAGAATGGAGCGGGAACATGTCCACCAATCCGGAAGAGTTGGGATCCTACGCAGAAGGTGACATCCTATTTCCGCTGGGAAATGGAAGGAGCGGTCTGAGAGCGAATTCTGCGAGATGGCCGAATGGTGTCGTGCCTTATGTCATCAGTCCATATTTCAGTAAGTTCTTTATACGTTACTCAAGCTCCACTGCGAAACGATTTTTCCTATTAGATAGTTCGGGCGCAGCTTTGCGTTACTATTAGGTGTAGAAATGAATTCCTTCCGACTGGATTCATATAATTGATCCAAAGCCATCGGGGTTTCTATCGCGATGGTATTCGAAAACTGTCAGAAAAATGGCTCAAGTTCGTGAGAAATTATGGGAATTATTTCGACGATTGATCTGTTTCAAGTGGAAAGAATTTATTTCTACAGCTGATACATCCTCTCTGCTCACGGATTAATGAATATAAAAATGACAATATACACTACAGGCCAAAAGTTTCGAATCACCTCCCACTTTTCGTCAATATTAAATCTGCTGCTAATTTTTTATAGATTTGAAGTTTAGCCCAATTCTACTTTTATCAATTTATCTCGTATCAATTGATTCGAATGATAAAAAATTCTCAAAGTCGCTGACTTTTTTCTGCAAATTTTTGTGTAAATTGCAATGCTCGGTGATTCCAAACTTTTGGCCGGTAGTGCACGTGAGTGAAAAATAAAAATAAATAAATAAAAAAAGAAATATATATACTTGAAGTTGCAAATGGAAAATCTAATACCGTTCTATTCATAATAGTAAAGAATTTTATATCAACATTGTGATTTGGTTATTTTCTTTACTACATCATTAGGGTTTCTTCGGCAGTTCGTGTTGATCTCGATATTGCAAATAATCAAGAGTATTATATTAACTCGCTCCTAGTCGCTTCAGTTTCTTTTTTCATCTACAAGGTTGCTCGAGTTGAAAGTTAGATTTTTCCGGAAACGCAGGATCTGCAACTTTGCCGACAATGGAGCCTTTCTCACTTTGTAACGCTTGTAAAACGAAAGTTAATTGCACGTCTGCGTAGTAATTACTTCGTTCCTCCACGTCAGTATAACCAGCTGTTGTGGAACAAATTTATTTTGTTACGCTTTAATTAGATTTATTGTCCTAAGTAGCGGTCGGTTGTTTAGAAATTTGCTTAATTAAATGTTAGCGATAGTACCATGGAAACATCCTCCGTTCATTCAGGAAACAGTGTTCCTGAGAAGTAAATATCGCAAAATTATTGTCATTTGTCACTTTGTCATTTTTCATTTCTATACATTCTCCGTTACGCGTCATAGATACCATTATCACATTTTATTCATGCTCCTTCGAAAACTAATTAATGCTAAAAAATAGTCTGTAAATATCGCAAAATTATTATTTCAAATAACAAGCAAGTTTCATTTTATTTTTTACTTTGTCATTTTTAATTTCTACATATTCTCTGTTTTGCGTCGTTACAGGAACCGTTACGATATTTTATTATTCAGAATTTCTTTCTAACTTTGTGAATAAACGTGAAATGTTCGGACAATAATATTGCATTTTAATAAAACAAATTTCTCTCGTCGCTACAATTTTTCTTATTTTCTATAATTGCCAAACATTTAACGCGTTACGTTTTCACGGTCGACTCTACAACGACTCTAGTATTTACTAAAATTCAAAAATTCTCGTATATATTACGAAAATCGATTTTTAATTGCGAAACACTACTGAGACGGCTTAATTTGGGGCAGCCAACTCATATTTGAGCTGGCAAGACACAATACAACTAACTACTAAACCAAATCACCAAAAAAAGGCCATTTTTGTAACTCACTGTTCGCTGATTAAACAGCTGAGCTCTGCAACGTGGATTTGACTGCATTTTCTCCTTCCTTCCACTCAGATCGTCATCCTTCCTTTCTTCCTTCCTCCCAGTTCCGATCGATTTTGCAAGACTCACAAACTCACAAAGTGTGAGTTAATGTGAAATGGACGACGCGAAAAGTACTTCGAAACGCGATTTATTTCAGTTTTATTCAGAAAGGGAGAAACCGCGAATTTATATTATTTTCAATATTATTATTGAACTAAACTATCGTAGAACGCGAGTGAAAAATTGAAAGAACCAAAAGAAGAAACGCGAATTCGTATCTTTTTCGATTCTAGAATATAAGAAAATTTGAATAAAATACGCGACGAGAATTGGGGAGAAGCATAAGTTAAACGCGTAAAAATATTCAATAATAAACGAACTAGAGACGAAGCTATTATTTCAATACGCAATGCACTGGTTCTAGTATTTACTAAAATTCAAAAATTCTCGTATAAATTCCGAAAATAGATTATTAATTACGGTAAACTACTGAGACGGTTTAATTAGGGTG